CCTTCCGTTGAAGTAATTTTGGGAAGGGGCGAAAATACTGGTTAGCTGATTGGCCTATGTTGGTGATAGACGGGCCAAATAAACCAATCAGATCAACGAAGAATATGACGTACTAACAGAGCGATCAAACTCTTGCCGAAACCAGTCGGGAGAAGAGCAAAAACATCTTTTCCTCTGAGAAAAGCCTCCAGAGCAGTGTTTTGCTCTTCTTTCAGTGAAGAAATACTCTGTAATTCTGATAAAACTTGCTCGATAGCCACGCTAACGCTAGTTTCATCGGCTGAAGCCGCCATGTTCTTTAGACTGAACTGTCACGCTTCTCGTTGCGTCACACCTCAACCCGCCTCAAAGCCAACGCTGATTGGATGTTTGCTTGGTGAACGGCTCCAAATTTTCTTCAACGGAGAGTCTGCAGACTGATTAGCGAGTGAAATCTTGAAAGCTCGCGAGATCAGGGTGGTCTCACGAGGCTAGTAAAAAGCAGGATGCTTGCAACTTTGCAACTTGCAACTTCATCTAAGCTGTCCGGTATAGGAAAACAGAGTCACTTTAAAGCTATTGCATCATGAAGAAAAATAAAAACACAAAGTTGCTCTAAAACATAAAATGCAATGTTTCTGATTGGCCATCATAAAACCCCAAAAACAGTCAGAAATTTGTGAAAAAAGGTGCGTATAACCAATGCAATCTGCTTTTAAAATGTACACAGGTTTAAGGATATTCGCCTACTGTTTAAATTAGCAAAACTTTCCTACATACATTTATTTTCTCATAGAATAAGACATAGCACATTCTTTTACAGTAGATAAATGTTATTTCTAGTAGATGGGTTTTCAGCTTGTGCATTCTGGAATGTTTTTTATGTTTTTGTAATGTATGCAGACGTCCCACTGAGACAGTTAAATTACCGTAACTACAGTGCTAACCACTGTAACTGCTCTACTTTTTCAGTGATAAAAGCAGAGTGACTTGACACTTGACTGACGGGCTGTTGCGAGTGAAAACAGCCAGCCTCCTTATTTACATTTTGTGCTAGAGGCTCAGTGTCAGTACTCAAGGTTATTCTGCTGCATTAGCAGAACGGCAAAAGTGTCTGCCAGTTCTTCATCTTTCATTAAACCTTTTAGGCCAAACACTCTGCTGCTGCCCAGACCCTGCCTCCCTTGACAATAATGTTCTAACTGTTCACCTGCCAAACTATCAAACTATTTTATATTCCACACCTGCGAGGCATTAGACACAGGGATCCAACCTGGCCATGCAAACACAACAGTACACTCTTTGTTAGGGGCCCCGGGACCATAATAGTGGGTGGGTAGGGCCCAAAAGTGTTCTAGAAACACTTTATCAGAATGAGATACACTGCAGGCCTTTGTGCTCCCTGTGACACAACACACTATTTCCTGTGCTCAGGAGGAAGGTTTTACAACATTTAGGGTGAGGTATTTTAATTGAAACCACCTACAGCCTGACAGTAGCCTGAGCAGAGACACATGGAAAATCTGTTGAGGGCAGCTCAGTGGGCTCCCTGTGGTTTCGAACAGCTCAACGTCCCTCTTCTAAAGAACATGACACTTTGATTTATAATTGAGTCAACGACTGTGATGGCTTTCATCTGTCTCTATAGTTAGTTGCTTGTAGTAGCTTTTTCATGCGGCTGATGCTGCTGTGCTATAAATTACAAAAAGTGCAATATTGTCTGCTAATGAGACATTTATAACAAAGGCAACAGCAACTGCTGGACTTTTTTGGGGGGGTTATTTATTTTCTTAGTTCTCATGCTAATGTATGCATTAATTAGGCCAATTAATTACCATTACTTGCGACATTTATAAACCTTCAATAGGACAGACGAGTTAGAATCGCAATTAGCTTTCTTAAAGGTTTATTTATTTAGTTATCAAATACTTTTTTTTTCTGAGTGCCATCAACTCCATTTTTTGGCTAATCTGCCTACAACAAATTCAAACTCAGAACTACTGATTAATACACATGCTTCACTTTGTGGCTGTTTTAGGTTTATTTTTTTATTTTAACACCTCATTATACGCAATTGATTTTCATCTTCAATGTTTAATGTATTCATGTTGTTCAAGTGTTTTACTCTTTCTCATAATGGTGCATTACAACCTGATCCCTGACATTAAAAGATGGATGTATAAGCAGAAGAATAAAAAGCGGAAAAACTAATTTACACCGCAAGTTCCAATTTAAGGTGCAAAGAAAACTTTATTTTTTGCCTGATTTTCATCATTTGGCAGGATTGCAACCTTTAAAAAAGAAACCTGTTTTAATGTTTCTGTCATTCTGAAACAACCTGCATTTGAACTATTCAGCAAAGACGTACCATCTTAAGATCTGCAAAGCTGGATGGGACATCCCCAAAAGACTTACTGTAGTTAGGAAAGATTGATGTTGTGATTGCAGAGGTGTTTCCCAACCTTTATTGACTTGTGTACCCCTTTGGGTATTTTATCTTACCATCAGTACCCCCCCTCTGTTAAGAGCATTGATGATCGTCCAAAAGTGGAATGTAAAATAGATACAATAAATAAAAATAATTTCACTTAATCTTTGAATTTGAGGATTTATTTCTTAGGAATTTTATGTTTTCCATCTTAAAAAAACAAAACATAAATATGTTGCCTGGAAGTTAGTAAGGAATCGAAATAAATGCAAAATAAAATGAGAAAAATTGTTTTATTTAAAACAGCTATGCAAAAGTCATTAACCAAAGACATCTCCAAAACCAGCCAGTCTGCATCTGGACGGAAACAACTTATGAAAAAAGCACCCCTGGAGGATTTTATACAAGCCTCCAATTAAAAAAGAAACTGCTGATCTTTAGTGGAGGATTTTACATGATGCCATCACCACAAACTCTTTTTTTATCTGTTAATAATCAAGGTGTTTTAAATGAATATCCTTCCTGTGGTCCGTCTGAAAATGTGTTCCCCCGTTTTATGGAATGCAAAACACTAAAGTCCATTTTTAACCTTTTAATAGGTGTTTTTAGTCTTTTTATTTTTATTTTTTATTTTTTTTTTACAAATCCTCTATTTATAGTAGGATTTTGCCAAAACATAAGAAACAAGCCAAAGGCCTGAGTTTTAAATGTTTTGATCAGAGAAGCAAAGATGGCCATTTACTGGTCCTGGAGAGACAGATTGCAGGAGGGACCTTGATGCTGTGGCTCTGTGGAAGTGCAACATTAAAGCCAGAATAAGGCTGGAGTTTCACTTCCACAGAGCCACACAGAACATGGAGGATTTTATACAGTTGTGAGGTTTTAACCAAAGTTTATATTAGGGGCGGGTATTGGCAAAGAAGTCATGATTCGATTCATATCACGATTCACATGCCACGATGCGATTCTATCACGATGCATCACGATACTTGAAATATTGCGATGCATTGCGATATTTTCACTGAACACTGTAAGAAAAAGATACAGCCCTTACCAGTGGCTGACTGGCTAGGTGTGATCTGGATAGTGTCTTCAATTGATACATAACTGAAAGCAACTGAATTCATACATAGCTGTATTTATTGAAACGACTTTTGGAGGTGTTGCCTTGAAAACAAATACTGGACAGAAATATTACTATTACTGGTGTGGACACACTGACAAATGATATTAGGATTCATAAAACTTAAAATAACAAAATAAGGATAATCAGTGCCGTTTACATGGCCTCAGTGGTCCTTTAAACCAATGAAATGAAAACATTCAAATGTATATTTCCCCTTTTGCAAATTACGTGCGTCATATCAATTTCGTTTTGATCTTCTTTGTTTTCAAAGCCAAAATGCATCCAAGCATCTGACTTGAAATGTGATGGAGCCGCGGGGCAAATTTTCTCAGTCTCTTCCATATTTTGTTTACGAATGACTCGTCTCAGTATCCCGCGGCTGGAAATGCTTGTGACACAAAGCAGCGGGCGTCAACACATCCGCAGCGACATCTGCTGGACTGGAAGTTGTATTCCACTTGATTTGGCTGATGTGCGCCATTTTATTTGTTCATTTTCTTTTTTTTTTTTTATAATCGATTCTTGCCTTCAAGAATCGATGCAGTAGATCACAAAAATTAGAATCGCGATGCATCAATTGAATTTTTCAATTCAGTTTATTTATATAGCGCCAAATTCACAACACATGTCATCTCAAGGCACTTTACAGTTCAACCAGATCATCCAGTCAAATTGATACAAAGTTTTCTATCTAAGGAAAACCAGTTGATTGCATTGTCTCATTGACTCAAATACAATCCCTCACACTAAGCATGCTTGTAGCGACAGCGGAGAGGAAAAACTCCCTTTTAACAGGAAGAAACCTCCAGCAGAACCAGGCTCAGTGTGAGCGGCCATCTGCCGAGGCTGACTGGGGTTCAAGGAGACAGAAGCAGAGATACAAAAAGCAGCTGTAAAAGGCGGCCCCGTCCAGGAAACACACAGCCAGGCAGACGAGCTCCAAGACAGCTCCCATGCCAGAGGACGAAGAGAGCACATCCACTCAGTCACGGTCAGAGAAACAGGACCACACTGGAAAACAGGCCGATCTCCAACATCTATAAACAAGGGTGTTGATGGAAGCAGCACAGCTGATGTTTCTTTCCAGGATGACGTCACAGCCAAACAGGATCAGGCGAGGCAAAGCTACTCTGTCGTCATGACGATTATTTTGCACACCCTTAGTTTATATACTGTGTCAGGTGACAGAGAACTACAAGTGATTTCTAGCTGACATTTTTTTTTTTTTACATAAATAATTGATTATATTGTTTAATTTTATAAGTTGAGTGTTGCTAAAAGTCAAATATTTTCATGTATCCCGTCCCCCCTGTTGGGAATCACTGTTGTGCAATATAATATAAAATTCAAATATTGGACATATTTGAAGATTTAAGTTTGTAAAAGGAAATTGGGAAATTTTTGTTATATGCTGTAGAGTGAATAATAACTTTAATTGCTGTATCTGTATAACTCTGTTTTCTGCAGTTGCGGGAGGCCATACATTAAACTGACCCATGGAGAGGGCTCTATAGATAAAGGAGACAGGATACCACGATCAGGTAGGAGAAAGTTATTTTTTATGAGTTACATGGGAGAGGTTTGCTTCACCCTTTATAAAGCATTCAGTGAAATACTTTAAAAATCTAAATTTCAAGCCAATAGTGTTACTGGAATCCAGGACAAGACCTTATGACCTCTGTAACAATTTACTTTGTAACTTTTCAATTAGCTTTTTACCTTTTTTTTCTTGACTTGTTAACTTTGTTTATTTTTTTCCAGTTAATTTACAGTAGTTAATTTGTAATTCAAGGCCTCATCTAATTGGTGAAATGCAAAATAAGATGAACAGCCATGTAGCAGTATCTTTGCTGAATGGCTGGATATAGATCTTGTGCGATCTTGTGTGATCTTGTAACGGGTATGCAAGTGATCAAAATGGTGACTTGCCCTATAAAGGGTTAAATGTTTTGGTTCCATAGATAGAAGCCATTAAAATTGTTGGAACATCATGGAGCAGACATAGCTTTTGTTGATTTTTTTTGTTTTGTTTTTTATTACACTGGAAAAATTATCTAGAAATAGGGTAAATATTTCTCAAATTGAGTGCATTTACACTAAATTTGAGGAGGTTAATGAGATGATTTGCCAATGGAATGAGTATTTTTACTCTTAAAATAAGATATTTACATAAAATGCACTTGAAAAAAGAAAAATGCAATTGTGTTTCCTTATTTAAATGTAAATTGTCTTGTTCCATTGGCAAAATGTCCGTTTGACCTTCTCAATTTAAGAACAAATGCACTTATTTTAAGAAAAAAATGACTTATCTAGATTTTTGATTTTTTTTCCAGTCTTAGGAAAAAGGGCATCACACTGCAAAAAAGATATCTAAATAAGTCATTTTCTCTTGCAATAAGTGCATTTTTTCTTGAAATGAGGATGAAGTGAGACACTTTGCCGATGGAAAAAGACAATTTATATTTAAAATAAGAAAAAAAACAATTGCCTTGTCTTATTTCAAGAGCATATTATCTAATTATCTTACTTTAAGAGTAAAAGTACTCATTCCATTGGCAAATTATCTTATTTACCTACTCCAATTAAGGCTAAATACACTTAATTGTAGACATTTTTGCTCATTTCTAGATCGTTTTTGCAGTGCAATGATTTATTTAGTTTGCCTAATTTCTGTTTTTTTTTTTTTTTTTATTCAAAGTACAAATATATTTCTTGTGCACAAGCAAAAGTTCCTGAACTCTCAAAGTGATTTTCTATAAATGGATCGAAAACTTTATAAGTAAGCTGTAAAAACTGAGCAAGATGCCATTTTTTTTTTATCTAGACGCAAAAAACCCATTATAAAAGCTGACACTACCAGTAACAGTAGTCAGCAGAAAAAGATGCATTTAAGTGGAGAAGTCCCTTCTTTGTTATGCTGTGGATGTATAAGAGCAATTGCAGTGATTTTCAATCTGCAATAAAATTACTAATAAAGTCCTAACCCAAGACAACATTTTAGGATGAAAGGAAGACGGTTAACTTTAGTTTACTTTATTCAGAAAAGTGGAATTTATGTCTAACCATGAAGGGTCTTGTTCAATTTATATCAATTGAATTCATGTAAATTCAGTGGAGCCTTGGTGGAAGTTCAACTGATTAAACTGATTATTGGCCTTCATCAGCCTACGACACAGCCAATCAGCTTTGAGCCACTCCTTCACGAAAGCCAATCAGGATCTAAAGTTCATTAAAAGGCCTCCGATCCGCAACTCGTCTGCTACTTAGAGCGCAGGCGGCGGTTTGCACCGCGTGACTTCATTCAGATGACCCCGTTTCAACCAACCTCCTGCCCGTCCTCCACCATCGTAGCTAAGACTTCATCAGTTTCTTTCCTCCCGGACTCTTACTACATTCCGCGTCTCTTTTCAACCAGTCTGGCATGTTGAGCCTGGTTCTGCCAGAGATTTCTACCCAACAGGGAGTTTTGCCTCCCCACTGTTGCTTCATGCTTACTCATCACGGACGGGTTCTCTCAACTTGTGTTATCCAAACTGGACTTCCATCTTCCAGGTCCCTGAGTGAAGCTCTAGTATCAGCTCATGCAATCACTGCATCTCCCCATAAAGCTCAGCATACCGTCTCGCTAACCAGCAGTCTACAGACTGACCAACTTCATCTATCTCCACTCTACCACCAGTTTTAGGCCTGGCGGGAAACAGCCCTGTTCTTTACTCCTGTTCATTCATATCTATCAAAATTCAGCGCTATGTTTCCTGCCGAGGTCTGAGCACCAAAGACCAACTAGTTGTATCGATAAATTTCTTCTAATTGTCTTTTTACTCCGTGCAAGTTTTTCAGATTGAAATATAATTATGCTGCTCAGAAGTAAATTATATATATATTCAACCCCATTTATAAAGAAAACGGTCTAATTCAGCTTAGTATGTAACGCTAGTGATGACTGTGACCAAGGAAACCTATTTAAATAAGTCAATGATTGTGTAAAAAACCCCAATATGTCTTTGTATTTCTTTATTGACAGAGGACCAAGTGGTTGTGTCATCAGACTATGACAGCACCCATGAAGCCAACCACAGTGACAGCAGTGATGTAGCACACACTGAGGAGGATGCAGAGGATGGGAAAAACTCCTCTCAAAACGTTATCCTCCATGCACTAATACCTCCAGAGGTGAGACTATTTCAGAGACATGCGTCATATAAAGTGGATATAAAAAGTCTTCACACCTCGATAACCATCGGAAAATGAGAGCATGAGGTATTTTGGAATGCATGTTCTGATTTGTTTTTTCAAAGCACCAATTGAAATTGACAAAACCTAAACAGGTGCTACAGGTTTATTCTGTGCAGTAAATTATTGCTGTTCATTTGTTTTGTTTTGTTTTTAGCTCACATCTGTTCGTTATGAGCTACTAGCATTGGAAAGCAGGAATAGTCACATCATAGTGTTATGTTTAATCCGGGAGCCAAGGTCAACTGACCAAACTCTGTTGGTCGTACCAAAAACAAAAAGATTCACAGTAGCAGGAAGTTAAGCTGCTAAAACAGCCAAGTTGATAAATGTCTGAGTAATTACCAGAGATGGCAAAAGTACTCACTTTCCGTACTTGAGTAAAAGTACAGATACTTGTGTTAAAAAATACTCTGGTAAAAGTGGAAGTACTGATTAAACTTCTTTACTCAAGTAAAAGTAACAAAGTACGAGCTTGTAAATTTACTTAAAGTATAAAAGTAAAAGTAGAAACCACTTTTTTCATGCCGTTGCCTACATTTGAAATGGATGTCTGCCAATAGGACTAGATCTCCGTTGTGTTCATTTTCAATCATCTCGTCGTCCGTGCTACTATGCTAACGCCACCGCCACCAAGCTGCAATGATTTGCGGCCAATGAATACCGCCGAATCTGTCGATTCATCTTGTAGTGGTGCGTCAAATGCAACGTAGATTCCCATCCAATTAGATTGAATTTGGTATTGATGACGTGAAAAATAATGACGGTAACTCCATTGAAATGATTCAAAACTAAAGTAACGAGCCAATTTTTTTAAATGTAAGGAGTAGAAAGTAGATATTTGTGTAAAAATGTAAGGAGTAGAAGTAAAAAGCCGCCATAAAAATAAGTAGTAAAGTAAAAATATCAGAAAAATCTACTTGAGTACAGTAACGAAGTATTTGTACTTCGTTACTTCCCATCTCTAGTAATTACTGCCAGCAGATGTCAACGACCTACAATAATGTTTATGTCTCCAAACCGCACCCTCTCAGAAATAATTTTCAGGCTCAAAGAGAACAAAATAAACATCATCAGCTATAGTGCTTCCTTTATTTTGACACAAACACATTTTTGTTGTTTTTAATAGACATATTGCATATAGAGAACTTTAAGTAGGGTACAACACATTTTTTGTGTTCGGATTTTTTAAATTATTTTTCCTTTCAACTGGATGAATTCTAAAAAAACAAAAAACATCACTTTACCAGGAGTCTATGATTACTTTTTGTATCCACTTTCAGTGTGTTATTACTTTAACTTATTGCATTTCTTCTTTAAAACATTTATATTATGTGTTGTTCATTCAGAACAAAACTATTCTGGCACCAGAACCGTTAGTAATGGAAGACTTGGAGCCTTTGATGAGTCAGTTAAACAATTGGAACTTTCCTATTTTCACCCTAATGGAGAAGACAAATGGAAAAAATGGAAGGATCCTCAGTCAGGTGAGCGTATTAAAGAACATACAGAAGTATAATTAATAATGAATCTTTGCAATTTGTACTTTCTATGCGGATTTTGACAAAAATTCACAAATAAAATTCCATTTTATTCTTAAAAAGAAATTAAACAATTAAATTTCCAATAAATATGCTAAAGAAATGTTTGTTAATGTTATCCATGCAATTAAGTTTAGTCCCCTAACTAGACAACAGTCAGAAAGAAAGAACATTTAAAACAAATGAAAAACACACACTCATTAATAAACGAGAACATGTTTATAGGATATCAGATGCACACTTAATCTTCCAGAGTCACAGTTGCTTCTCTCTTACACTGATGAACGAGCAGAGAACTTCTTTCTCCACACGAACAACTGCCAGGTGCTTCAGACTTGGCTTGGGATTTCTCATTAAAAACCCATGTCTGGAATAACTCTCAGGAGTCTGCATAATGTAAAAGTCTCTGGCTGATTTGTAAGAAAGGAAGAAAAAAAAAAAAACGATCCTCTTTCTAAGGCTTTGCTCTAAAACAATGTAAGAGAAGCTATTCGTTTTAAGAGGTTACACTGATGAGACCAAGCTGCATTTTTGACATGCAAATCTGTCTGGTGCACAGAAGGTCATGTACTGTAAATGTATATTCCTCTTAGCAGAATAGAATAGAATAGATTGTTATTGCAGATTAGAATGCACGCATTTATAAAGTACCAAAATAACAAGAATGTTCCGCTAACAATGAAAGACAAATTAGCAGAAAACATCAAAATAAGTAAACTCATATAGTCATACATTCCTTTTTGTGGCTGTTTTTAACATTGGTGACACATTTAGCAATGAAGTTATATTTTATGTGTTAATTAATACCTTTTTAGTTATCTAATCTTTCGAAAGCCATGTGGTTTTTACAGATGACTTTGTGTTGCAGGTATCTTATAGGCTCTTTGACGACACTGGCCTGTTTGAGACCTTTAAAATCCCTGTTAAAGAATTCATGAACTACTTTCATGCTCTGGAGAGCGGCTACAGAGACATACCCTGTGAGTTGGAATTGATCTCAGCTGTATGTTCTGTTATTTACAAAGTTTTACTGTCAGGTTTTATTTTTCAGAGTTGTAAAAGATAAAAGCAACCACTAGATGGAAATACTATACCATACACTTTTCCTTTTTTAGAAATGCTACTGTTGTGCAGTACAGTGAAAAGTCTGGTGCTTTTAGGTTTCTATGAGAAATATAAACAGCCTAACAGTGCACTCTAGTGGACAGTATTTTAATTTAGAAAATCATGTTTTTTTTTCTGTTTTATCAGATCACAACAGGATCCATGCCACAGATGTGCTTCATGCAGTCTGGTATCTCACTACGCAGCCTGTACCTGGTTTACCCAGCCTAATTAATGATCAAGGCTCTGCCAGTGACTCAGGTACTTACTATTCCCTCAAAGTGCAAAATAAGGAAAATAGCTTTTTTTTTTTTTTTTTTTTTTAAAGAAGTTAATAGAAGATGTTGGGGGGGGATGTTTTTATTTGCCTTCATCTTACCCATAAGCATCATCATTAGTACTGTACAACCTTATTCACTGTTTTTGCACACATGCATTTTTGTAGGACGCTATTGGAAGTCTAATACAGCTTGAAATTGCTGGAAACTTAAGAGTTTCCTTCCGACCAGTATTTCTATTTCTTTTTTTGTATACCTACTCAGAACCCTTCCCCGATCTACATATATGTGGATTTAAATATAGTGCATTACATTAGGGGTGGGTATTGGCAAAGAAGTCATGATTCGATTCAAATCACGATTCACATGCCACGATGCGATTCTATCACGATGCATCACGATACTTGAAATATTGCAATACATCGCGATGCGTTGTGATATTTTCACTGAACACTGTAAGAAAAACATACAGCCCTTACCAGTGTCTGACTGGCTGGGTATGATCTGGATCGTGTCTTCAATTGATACATAATTGAAAGCAACTGAATTCATACATAGCTGTATTTATTGAAACGACTTTTGGAGGTGTTGCCATGAAAACAAATACTGGACAGAAATATTACTATTACTGGTGTGGACACACTGACAAAAAGATCTTAGGATTCATAAAACTTAAAATAACAAAATAAGGATAATCAGTGCCGTTTACATGGCCTCAGTGGTCCTTTAAACCAATGAAATGAAAACATTCAAATGTATATTTCCCCTTTTTGCAAATGGCGTGCATCATATCAATTTCGTTTTTACCTTCTTTGTTTTTAAAGTCAAAATGCATCCAAGCATCTGACTTGAAATGTGATCGAACCGCGGGACGAATTTTTATAGTGTCCTCCATGTTTTGTTTACGAATGAAATGCTTGTGACACAAGGCAGCGGGCGTCAACACATCCGCATCGACTCTGCTGGCTGGAAGTTGTATTCCACTTGATTTGGCTGATGTGCACCAACCATTCATGTATTTTATTTGTTCTTTTTTTTTTTTTATCATGCAGTAGATCACAAAAAATTTGAATCGCAATGCATCGTCATGACGATTATTTTGCACACCCTTACATTACATAGTGCATAATAGTGCATGTAATGCACTGGAAGGCGCTTTGCAGGCACATACATGTGACCTAAAGTATGTGTGCTTTGTAAGTTCTGCCTCCCTGATCCATTTCCTGTTTGCTTCCTTGTAATCAGATTCTGACAGTGGAATAACGCACAGTCATATGGGCTTCCTAGTCTCAAAGACGTACACTGTGTCCGAAGATGGCTATGGCTGTTTGTCAGGCCTCATACCCGCTCTGGAGCTGATGGCGCTTTACGTGGCTGCTGCAATGCATGACTATGATCATCCTGGGAGAACAAATGCTTTCCTTGTGGCCACCAGCGCCCCTCAGGTACTGTGTTCATTTGGATCACTCATTACCATCTCTGATGTGTACCAGAAAATGTAGAAATTTGTTTCTGTGAGGTATTTATTTCACTCAATGTGTCCCATTTTAACTGTTAAACTGCATAAAGATCCTAATCCAAACAGCCGGCACTCATAGGAAGTATTACCAATACTTCCTATATGAGAGGCTATAAACATAAAAACATAAAATGCCAGAATGTTTACTTCTGTCTTTGCAATTGTCATTGCAAGTCTCATTAACAGTTACAGGAATCATTTCATTGCAGCGATTGCCTCAAAAGGTGGTGCTAAATTGAGTTTTTTTTTTTAAGTCATTCTTTTGAAGCAAGGTTGAAAAGCAAAGTTATATTTTGCTTATATATATATATATATATATTTGCTTAGAATCAAGTCATTTCTGTGACCTGGTGAGTTTTCATTAAATAAGGGATAATCTTTTTCATAGATTAGGAAATGGATTTAGATCAATAAAGCATTTTTTTTTTTATCAAGCATCGACTTAAATCACATAGAAAATCAATTTTGTTGCATGCAAAATTAGCAGGCAGTTTAGGCAAACCTTTTTTGCAGGTCTTCTTTCATCAATGTGCAGATCATATTCGAATAAGCAAACTGCACAAATATGTGGAGGGAGGAATACATTTTTAAATCTGAACATCAACTGCGACCATACTTTTAGCATCTTTTTAGAATTTTGAAAATCAGCTGCAAACTTTCACACAAACACGTACAATTTTAGACGATGGGGGAAAAAGTTCTGCAAATGTAAATATACAGTATTTGGAGATATATCAAAAGTGGAATAATATCGTCAGAGGAAGAAAAAATTCTGAATGTTGGCAGACATTCTCTGTACAAATAAACCAAAATAAATTGGTTCAACATGCTTAAAAACAAAATAGAAAATGAACAGCTTGAATGTCCATGGTAGAGGTATACCTAGATGTGGGGAATAGCACTCTGTTCTAAACCTGACTCTTGCTCCTGTTGTGTTGGGGAGGATGGAGAGGGGATTGATGAGCAGGCAAAGACAACTTTCCCATATTTTATGTTATTCTATGTTGTTTAACTTAAACCTTAGATATTTTAATTTTACATATATATATATATATATATATATATATATATATATATATATATATATATATATATATATATATATATATATATATATATATATACAGTATGGAAAATAAGTATTTGAACACCCTGCTTTTGCAAGGTCTTCCACTTAGAATTCTTTGAGGGTTCTGAGGTTGTCACTGTAGGTGCATATCCACTAGCCTGACGTAGTCCGACTCAATTCTAGTCAGAATATGAGTCTGATGCTGCTCCATAGAGCTGTGATTATGGGGCGTGTTTCGAACGAACCAGGAAAAAAAATGCCTCTGCACTCAATTGGATAGACCTACAACCAATAAGAGCAACGGAGTGCGTGACGTATGTTAAGCGAGGCATAGTTGTTGTCAACAAAAATCAAAGCGTGCGGTTGCACGCCTAGAATAAGAAGATGAGCCTTGATCACGTTTCTCTGTTCCTCTTTTAAAATTAATTTGCTGTCGATATCTTCTAGAACAGACCTAATAGCAGAATCTACTCACCTCAACTCTCCAGCGGCAGCCATTGTTGTTGTCACCCAAGCGCGCTTTAGTGACGTGGTTGATTACGTTACTGTTGATCATCTTTCCATCATCGTATAAAGCCTGGCCTTACAATTTGATTGGCCAGCCAGATATTGTGCGAGCATACTCGCGCTACTATTGAGCAATGCCAGACCGAACTTCCCGACCTCAAACGTTGTGGGCGGGACTGAGTTCGGAATGGCACCCAGGCTACATGTGCACTGAGAGAGGCATAAAAAAATAAAAATAAATAAAAAATAAAATCAAGAAATCGCAATATAATATTTTTTAACTATTTATTTGTATGATACAGCTGCAAATAAGCATTTGAACATCTGCCCATCAGCTAGAATTCTGACCTTCAAAAACCTGTTAGTCTGCCTTCAAAAAGTCAACTTCCACTCCATTATCCACTCCACTTCCACTTTATTATTCTAAATTAGATGCACCTGTTTGAGGTCGTTAGCTGCATAAAGACACCTCTCCAGCCCATACAATCAGTAAGAATCCAACTAATAACATCACTGCAAAAAATGAGATCTAAATAAGTAATTTCTTCTTAAAATAAGTGCATTTTTTCTTGAATTAAGGATTTAAATGAGACACTTTGCCAATGGAACAAGACAATTTACACTTAAAATAAGAAAAAACAATTGCATTGTCTTATTTCAAGTGCATTTTATCTAGATACCTTATTTTAAGAGTAAAAATACTCATTCCATTGGCAAATCATCTTATTTACCTGCTCAAATTAAGGGTAAATACCCTTAATTTTAGACATTTTTACTCATTTTGAGATTATTTTTGCAGTGATGGCAGAGACCAAAGAACTGTCCAAAGACACTACAGACAAAATTGTACACCTCCACAAGGCTGGAAAGGGCTAATGTCTTCATAGTAGAGTGATAGTGTCTTCATGTTTGCCTTAATAGCCAATCAGACAGCTGCAGTTGATCCAGAATGCTGCTGAACACGTCCCTCACCAGAACTAGGAAAGTAGAGCACATCACCCCAGTGCTAAAGTCCTTCTACCGGCTCCCAAATAAATCAATTTGCCATGCCTTTCTGAACCAGCTAATTAATCTTGTTTGCCATAGGGCTGTCTGTGTCCTTGTAATACCAGACATTTGGATCTAAAGGAGACCTCCAAAGCAAGTAGGTGCATTTGTACACACTGATGCAGATTTTGGCTGTTTGCAGGCAGTGCTCTACAATGATCGCTCGGTTCTGGAAAACCACCACGCCGCTTCTGCCTGGAACCTCTTCATGTCACACCCAGAGTACAACTTCCTCGTTAATCTGGACCATGTGGAGTTCAAACGCTTCAGGTTTCTGGTCATTGAGGCCATACTGGCCACAGACCTCAAGAAGCACTTTGACTTCCTTGCTGAGTTCAATGCCAAGGTATTAAAAAAGTTAAACTGTGATATACAATACATTATTTATGGAACATAAGTTAGAGTTATATTGTCTTATTTTTCTGGAAAACATTTTTGCAGTTATGTTTTTTATTTACAGTGACAATAAAGACAATTCTATTTAATTCATTGCAATCCTTTACAATTCAACCTTTCACGATTAGAGTGTTGGATGCTTTTTACTAGCAGCATTTGAACTGTGAGGGTGCAGAAGAGCCAGCAGCATTTTTCATATTCACACTTCTTATGGAATAAGTGTAATGGAATCTGATTCAGTTTCAGTCAAAAGGAGTCAGTTTTAAATCTCAGCTTCTTTAATTTTTAAACTTTCTTTTATCTTGTCAAGACATTATATTGCTGTTATTATTTTAACAAATTTAGCATTGCATTGACAATCATGATCAAAAGATAAAAAGGTTGTTTTTGTATCTTCATAAACATGTCATGTTATTGGTATAAACCAGAAATAACTATTATATACTATCTTTAAACCTTAGTTTGTTTAGTATTTTACAAAATAGGCCATCAAAGACGGCCTGAATGATTTTCAAATATATCTGAGTTGAGTGTTTATTATCTACTTTCATAAGACTGAAATACAATTTATTTAATTAAACTGCATATATTACATTTAAGAATAGTTTAGGAATGAATTAAGATATTATGGATTTTAGAAATGATTAAAATAATTTCACAGATATAAAAGAAATGCATAAATAATAACAAGAACAGGACAAAGAATTAAAAAATATGGGTAAATTAATGTATTACAGGTGCTGGTCATAAAATTAGAATATCATGAAAAAGTAGATTGATTTCAGTAATTCCATTTAAAAAGTGAAACTTGTATATTATATTCATACATTACATACAAACTCATATATTTCAGATGTTTATTTTGTTTAATTTTGATGATTACAAATGACAACAAATGAAAATCTCAAATTCATCATATCAGAAAATTAGAATATTGTGAAAAGGTTCAAAATTGATGGCCCCTGGTGCCACACTCTAATCAGCTAATTAACTCAAACCACCTGCAAAAGCCTTTAAATGGTCTTTCAGTCTAGTTCTATAGGCTACACAATCATGGGGAAGACTGCTGACTTGACAGTTGTCCAAAAGACGACCATCGACACCTTGCACAAGGAGGGCAAGACACAAAAGGTCATCGCTAAAGAGGCTGGCTGTTCACAGAGCTCAGTGTCCAAGCACATTAATAGAGAGGCGAAGGGAAGGAAAAGATGTGGTCGAAAAAAGTGTACAAGCAAGAGAGATAACCGCACCCTGGAGAGGATTGTGAAACAAAACCCCTTCAAAAATGTGGGGGAGATTCACAAAGAGTGGACTGCAGCTGGATTGAGTGCTTCAAGAACCACCACACACAGACGTATGAAAGACATGGGTTTCTGCTGTCGCATTCCTTGTGTCAAGCCACTCTTGAACCACAGACAGCGTCAGAAGCGTCTTGCCTGGGCTAAAGAGAAACAGGACTGGACTGCTGGTGAGTGGTCCAAAGTCATGTTCTCTGATGAAAGTAAATTTTGCATTTCCTTTGGAAATCAAGGTCCCAGAGTCTGGAGGAAAAGAAGAGAGGCACTTCATCCACGTTGCTTGAAGTCCAGTGTAAAGTTTCCACAGTCAGTGATGGTTTGGGGTGCCATGTCATCTGCTGGTGTTGGTCCATTGTGTTTTCTGAGGTCCAGGGTCAACGCAGCCACATACCAGGAAGTTTTAGAGCACTTCATGCTTCCTGCAGCTGACCAACTTTTTGGAGATGCAGATTTCATTTTCCAACAGGACTTGGCACCTGCACACAGTGCCAAAGCTACCAGTACCTGGTTGAAGGACCATGGTATCCCTGTTCTTAATTGGCCAGCAAACTCTCCTGACCTTAACCCCATAGAAAATCTATGGGGTATTGTGAAGAAGAAGATGCAATACACCAGACCCAACAATTCAGAAGAGCTAAAAGCCACTATTAGAGCAACCTGGGCTATCATAACACCTGAGCAGTGCCACAGACTGATCGACTCCATGCCACGCCGCATTGCTGCAGTAATACAGGCCAAAGGAGGCCCAACTAAATACTGAGTGCTGTACATGCTCATACTTTTCATGTTCATACTTTTCAGTTGGCCAACATTTCTATAAATCCTTTGTTTTTATTGGTCTTCAGTAATATTCTAATTTTCTGATATGATGAATTTGAGATTTTCATTTGTTGTCATTTGTAATCATCAAAATTAAACAAAATAAACATCTGAAATATATGAGTTTGTATGTAATGTATGAATATAATATACAAGTTTCACTTTTTAAATGGAATTACTGAAATCAATCTACTTTTTCATGATATTCTAATTTTATGACCAGCACCTGTACTTGAACAGAGAATTAAGGCAACTGGTGATAAATATATCTGAACAAACTATACAAATTTACAGTGTCTTAAAAGCTTAATCAGCTGACATGTTGTACATGTTATGTTGAAATATGTGCAAGAATACAAAAGGATAATAACAACATTATTAAAGACATACTTTTTGCAAAACCGATATATACCTTAAATTCAACTCAAATAAAAGAGCTTAAATAAATAAAACCTGCTAAATTTGATTATAAATAGAAGTAAAGAAAAATAGCTTAATAGTTTAAAAACATTGCTAAGAATTTTTTTGCTGTGTGGTCCTTGCTTAATTCACTCAGCTGCAGTAGGAATGTCTATATATGTGTAAAATTTAGAAAGGAGAACACAACCATATTAAATGACAATGTTTTAAAACTGCTAAAATACATTTCTGAATGCGTCCGATGTGTGTAAACTCCGCTATCATTTGATTCCTCAGGTAGGCGATGATCCTTCGACAGGCATTGACTGGTCTAATGAGAACGACAGGTTGCTGGTCTGCCAGATGTGCATTAAACTGGCAGACATCAACGGGCCTCTGAAGTGCAAGGATCTACATCTACAGTGGACCGAGGGCATCGTCAATGAGTTCTATGAACAGGTGGGAGAAATGAATAAGACCACTTAATACTTTTTTCATTTTGTCTTTTTGCAAAACAGATTTCAAATATTTTATTGGGTTTTGTCTGATATACGAACTTATTAAAAAAAGAGACTTAAAGGTGTTACATACACGTTATCAGAAACCAATTCCTCTGAATTAAATCCAGCAATGCTTTAAGAAGTCAAAGAAATGTCATCACTGTGTGTTATATAACCAGTACTCGAGCTGAGGAGGGATGGCATCCCCTTTCTTAAATGACCATCCCTCCATACCATCCCCTGTGAAATTTTATTACTAAATGTGTACAATTTCTACTATATAGTAACAATAATGGCAATAATATTGCCCTTTTAACATTTGGCTAACTGTGGGCTTTCATTAACCTGACTCCGCCAGATGGATTTGCTCCGCATATCCAACCTTCCGTTGAAGTAATTTTGGGAAGGGGCGAAAATACTGGTTAGCTGATTGGCCTATGTTGGTGATAGACGGGCCAAATAAACCAATCAGATCAACGAAGCATATGACGTACTAACAGAGCGACGACGAAAACACAACCACAAGCCAGGCTACTCTTGCCGAAACCAGTCGGGAGAAGAGCAAAAACATCTTTTCCTCTGAGAAAAGCCTCCAGAGCAGTGTTTTGCTCTTCTTTCAGTGAAGAAATACTCTGTAATTCCGATAAAACTTGCTCGATAGCCACGCTAACGCTAGTTTCATCGGCTGAAGCCGCCATGTTCTTTAGACTGAACTGTCGCGCTTCTCGTTTGGTGAACGGCTCCAAATTTTCTTTAACGGAGAATCTCCAGACTGATTAGCGAGTAAAACCTTGAAAGCTCGCAAGATCAGGATGGTCTCACCAGGCTAGGCTTTCATATAGCCTGAGCAAAATAAATATTATCAAAGAAGTGGCCTACCATGACTACGAAGCTGATCCCAGTGGAAAATGAGTCCCTAAGTATGTAAGGGCAGTAATAGCCATGCCAGTACAGGGACTGGATGCACTTCTACTACAAGGTGCCAGGGTGAAGGTCAGTGACCGGCGTACCTGACATGTAACGACCATACCATGCATTTTGCTTTAGATTTATAGACTATATTATTTAGGCTATGAATGTTTTAAAAAATAATCCACCATCGCCTTTTTTTTTTTTTTACAACTAGACTACTACTATAACAATATCCAGAGCTGTGAGCATCCATTAATCATATATTTAAACCACAACAGCACTCTTCTTAAATTATAGTAAAATAGACACATTATGGCAGAAATTGTGTATCTAGAAAGACATAATGATTTACTTAAACTAAGAAGCCATGTAAGAAGAGCACTAATCATAGAAATTAGCAAGTAGCAAACTTTTTTTTTTTTTTTTTTGCTCTATTGGCAATTCCGTGTAACATTACAGAATAAATCAAACATCAAACACAGATATACAACAGTTGGTGACATTATAACTTTAAGAAAAATGAGACATAGAAGGTAAAAAATAAATAAAAATAAAACAAGGGAAACAAACAAATAAATAAATAAAATAAACAAATAAATAAAATAAACATAAAATAATAATAGCTAGGGGTTTACATTGAGTTTACGGTCATTTACAAAGGTGTATAATTTTATACCATTTTTCTTCTACATAAATTTAAGTGATTGAAAATACAAACAAAGTTCTTTAAGAAAAATGTTGAAGTTTGGCTTGGTCCTCATGTATTTGCTTTTGTGAATGTAAAATTTCCCCATCATGAGTAAAACATGAAAGGCTAGGTCCTGCAGGTTATCTGTCATTTCTATTCCAAACAAAACATTCTAGCAAGTAGCAAACTGGTCAGAACTGATAAGGAGATAAATGAGCTAAATGCTGATCCACATTTTAAGAAAACCTGTTAGAAGTTGCAGGGCAATGACCCTAAATGTACAGTTAAAGCTACAATAGAATGGATTACATTAAAGAATACCCATATATATGAATAATATACGGGTGAGACAATATCTATTAATTTAGATCAAAGTGTGTAGCAGTTAATGGTGATATTTTAAAGCTACTCAGAGAGTAAGATTCATGAAATTATGGCCTCAGTTTGAATTTTGCTGCAGTAATGAGCGTAACCTACTTACAGCCCAATCCTTTTTCCACCAAAGTTTGGGTTCTCCAAGCTCCTGGCACAAAATTCTTCTTTTTCTATGAAAAAGAAGGCTCAGGCTCAGGCATGGCTACTTTATTTTGATGGTGCAGCCAAGTGCGTACCTACTTTAGATCTAACAAGGCAGCAATGCAGAGCCAAACATAAGAAAAGCTCCCTTATGACAAAGGTTTGGATGTTTTTAGGGGAAGTGGCGCATGAGGGATCATTTAGCTGGTCTAAAGGGCACTTGATAGAGATGGCTGTTCCACCTGACTGCACTTGACAATTTCCAGAAGAGCTATAAACTTAAAGCAATTCATTTCCTTTCTAAAAAATATATCTATAACCCTTACCAGCTGGTGAGTTAAGTTCTCTTTTAGCTTCCAAGAAATCATGCATCAGGTTTAAAGTGACTGTAGGTGACTATCATCCAAAAATTAGTCACGGAGAGGAGAGCAGGGATTTGTTCGACGTGCTGAATCCAAGGAGGAAACGTAAAGCTTTACTGCATTTAGGGATGTTTATTGTACCCGTTTTCTGTGAAGCATTGTACAATAGATAGACTTGCAGACTTAATTAGCCTTAAACTTGCCGGCAACAGAAATATTGGCACCCTGCCTTAGCCTTGATTGATTTGTCCCCTTCCTTTCTTTTTTTAAAATCAGGTAAGATGAATATGGTGAGAATGAGTTCTAGTTTGTTGTGTTTTTTTTAGCTTGCATCATTTTAAATGAATGGTTATTGCTGTCTGTAGGGTGATGAAGAGTCTAGCCTGGGGCTTCCTGTGAGCCCTTTCATGGATCGAGCTGCCCCACAGCTGGCCAAACTTCAGGAATCATTCATCACACACATTGTTGGACCACTTTGTAACTCCTACGACTCGGCTTGCCTCATACCTGGACGATGGGTGGAGCCTGATCCCGAGGAGGAGGAGCAAGAGATTACAGAAAGCGAGGATGCAGATGACGATGGATCTACATGCTCTGATGGATCACGTAAGCATGAGTGCATAAAATAAAGCTAAAAAAGGGCAGTTTATTCTTTTTATGTAGCCTTTGTTTTCCTACTTGCCATTAGTTTTATTTAACCATTCATATTTACACTTCTGATCATTGTAAAGAACAAAAGCTTATTAATTCTGTATAATTCAGCCTCTTTCAGTCTCTTAAGATGTAGTTAATTCAGTTGAGGTATTCCTGATAGATAATGTCTATTCCTAAAATGAGAGAAATATCAGATGTGCTGCTGCCATCAACACCTTTATTTATAGATGTTCGAGATCTGCCTGTTTTTCAGTGTAGTCCTGTTTCTCTGACGGTGACTGGCTGTAGTTGGCTTGGAGTTTGTCTGCCTGGCTGTGTGTTTCCTTTTACAGCTGCTTTTTGTATCTCCGCTTCTGTCTCCGCTTCTGTCAGCTTTCCTGGAGAGGTGGCGAAACGTCTTCAAATCTTGAAAACCAAGTCCAGTGGATATTTTTTGAATTTTTACGGAATGACTATGACCTGGATGACTGAGAACCTTCATCAGCATATGTTTATTGCTGTATTTATTTATTTAATTGTGGCACTTTATATTAGTGACTTGGTTTTAATTAATTAATGACACTTTTATGTATTTAATTCCACATTTAATTTATTATTGACACGTTTGATTATTTATTTAATGCTGTATTTATTTATTTAATTTTGGCACTTTTTATCCTCCATAAGACAAAGTCCAGCTTCTGTAGAATGCCACACCTGGAACAGATTGACCCATGATGCTAAAGGTCGTAGCGTGTTGGACGGGTAAAATTATAGATGAGAAAGAGTAGAAAGAAAAATGTTGGTTTACTGCAACAGATATAGAAATCACAATATTCAACATTAATGTTGTATTTCGGGAATTTCTTATCAAGCAACCCTAAAAATGTCCTTTAAATGGAGCTATAAACAGTTGATTAATTCTGTTTTGTTTTTTGTTTTCTTTTAGAGAAAGAAGTTTCCAAGAAAAGGAGGAAAGTTTTCTGCCAGATCACACAGCACCTCCTGGAAAATCACAAGATGTGGAAAAAAGTAATGGAAGATGAATCCCAAAATGAGGACCCAGAGGCGGAGCCAGTCCATTTAAACAAAGTAGCAGAAACAATTCTGGCTATTGATGAAGAAGAAGAGGAATTGTGCAGCAGGGAAGAGCAGGTGGAAGAGGGGCATCGTGAGGAAGAATCAAAGGAAGCAGAGTGGCTTATTTCAGTAAAAGAAGGCTCTAAGAATGTAGAGGAGCAAGGGGACAGTGAACCACAATAAAAACCATCTAAGCTCCGCCCCAATCAGTTAGCGATGCAGCATCAGTCAGGATAAGGATGTAAAGAAATATCCCCTTTTACCTTATCCTACTGACTCCTGTTTCTGCCAGCACAGTACTTAGACACAACACTGTAGATGTTTGGGAAACACGTGCCTACACACACAGAAAAAAAAATAAAAAATACAGGTTGGGAAAATTTGTGCTTTACATGTTTAATCTGAATATGTGGTTTTACCAAACAATTTATATGTTTTCTTTCCATATTGCAATAATGGATATTCATTGACTTTTGGGAAACAGACTATTTTGCTACTGTCAGGAGTTGAAGAAAAAAAAAAAACAGCTGCATATGTTTTAACTCAGTGTGGTATAACAGAACTGCAGAAATTTGCTGCCAATTTATACAGAATTATTTCCCGAATGTGATTATATAAAAGAATCACAATTCAGATGCTTGTGTTTTGGTTTTAGCTCAAGGTTTTCTGTTTGAACCAAGCTACACTAAGTTTTTTTGGGTTTTTTTTGTCTGCACTTGGATTATAAAGGGAGTAATTCACATGAGGAATAATCCTTTTAACTCATGACAGAAATAATCCCTCACATGTGGGCTTATTTTAAAAAAAATCTAATATTTATGCATATTTTGTTGACGTTTATTGCCAAATGAAGTACTTAATACCATCATATTGAGATGTGTTTGGGAAATATACAGCTGTGTGCACAATGTGTTTTATTTCAGTGTACACATTAATTCTCCAGAAGGCAGAATACATTTTTTTTTTATTACAGTAAAACTGATGTCAAAATCATAAGTTTCTTAGAGCATTCCCTTGCAAAAGTATTCATACACCTTCATCTGTATTATACCATAATGACAAACTTATGTTCAGACCAAAGTTAAATCTTAATTGAGCCTACATCACCCTGTACATCTGCATGAACACACTATCCACAAGGTGATAAATGCTAATAGCAGCTTCATGCTTTTTGGATTTGTTTTATTTATTAGAAGCAGGGATGATGCTTGATTGTATGTGAAGATGATTCAATTCGATTCAAATATACTGTATTAATCCCCAAAAGGACCGAGCCGCCTGCAGCTTTTCCTCCATTGCCTCTTGGAGCTCCAGAGTGAGCCGCATCACCTCAGCCTTCAGGTCGCTGCTACCCATGATTATAGAAAGTATTTTTCTTGAGACTAAGAAAAACTTAGACAACAAACTGGTTTGTGATGCTTTAGATCAAAGCATCGGTGGAACATCTATGTGCTCCATAAAAAGTCAAGACCAAAGGAGAATATGTGGTAACTCTAAAAATAATGTTTTTTTTTATCCAGTCTGAACTTTAGCTTGATTTTGCAGAATAGAAATCGGGGAAAAAAATAATCAGTAGATTAAGTTTTAACAAAAGTTGGTAACAAAATGACTGAGGATGGGTGATCAAAAATTCCACCTCATTTTCAACAAATTTGATTAGAAAAAAAATATTTTCCATTCATAATACATGTTTTCATCTATAACTCAATTTCTTGCTAATATGCTTTGGAATTTTTTGGTCTTCATCGGACAAATAGGGGAGTGCTGGCCTACACTGCAAAAAATTCAAATCTTAATAAGTAATTTTTTCTTAAAATAACTGCATTTTTTATTGGATTGAGGGAGTAAGTGAGACACTTTGCCAATGGAACAAGACAATATACATTTAAAATAAGAAAACACAACTGCATTGTCTTGTTTCAAGTGCATTTTTATCTTATTATCTTATTTTAAGAGTAAAAATACTCATACCATTGGCAAATCCTCTTATTTTTCTACTCAAATTAAGGTTAAATTCACTTAATTTAAGAAATCTTAACTTATTTCTAGATTGTTTTTGCAGTGTAGTGGGTTACACTGGAAAAAATCAAAATCTAGAAAAGTCATTTTTTTCTTAAAATAAGTGCATTTGTTCTTAAATTGAGAAGGTAAAACAGACATTTTGCCAATAGAACAAGACAATTTATATTTAAATAAGAAAACACAATTGCATTTTTCTTATTTCAAGTGCATTTTATCTAAATATCATATTTTAAGAGTAAAAAATACTCATTCCATTGGCAAATCATCTCATTAACCTGCTCAAATTAAATGTAAATGCACTCAATTTGAGAAATATTTACTTATTTCTAGATCTTTTTTCCAGTGTAGAGCAGTGCACTTGTGCTCTGAGAAGGTTGAAAGTACCCGGTTTGATCCCCACAGCCTCCCTGAGAAAGACCCTCAACCCCACACTCCTCCTCTAGGAGATCAATAAAGTTCAATTATTATTATTAAACAAGATGGTGTCATGCTAACACCATACCAGAATGCATACCTTAAATAATAATTCTATATGGACTTCCCTGTGCTTCCCCATTCAGAATGCAGTGAAAAATTTAAACCACACAAGTCACTTCATGTATCTGGTATGTCTGTGAAAGAAAGATGCATACCGTTGCTTTTTCTGTGACCTTTGTGCCGTGAATCTGTTGGATTCTACTGGCACCTCAGGGACTCATTCTTTCTCTTACAGTTTGCAGCAAACAAGATGCTTCCGAACTCAAGCTGCTTAGAAAATCCACAGCAAACATACAGAGTTTCAACTGTACCCAAAGTTCATGGAATCTCATGTGTCATCTTGTTCGATAACAAACGGGACGTATAAGCTGATCTGAGCTTAGCCAAGAAATGTTTCGACAGGAATCCTGCCCCAAATCTTTTATAAAATGTATCCCTTTTAAAATAAACCTGAGTCTCTGTTAGAAGACACTATTCCACCCACTGTGGAGATGTTTTAGCAAGATTAGTTACAGTAATCACCGCTATTAATAAAGTAAATTGTTTCCATGTACTGCATGATCTATACTCATATGTTTCTGTAGCTGCAGGTTCCTGCACTGGAAAAATTATCTAGAAATAAGTAAAAACTTCTTAAATTAAGTGTATTTACCCTTAATTAGAGTAGGTAAATGAAATAGTTTGCCAATGGAATGAGTAGTTTTACTCTTAAAATAAAATAATTAGATAATATGCACTGAAAATAAGATAATGCAATTGTGTTCTCTTATTTTAAGTGTACATTGTCTTGGTCTATTGGCAAAATGTCTCTTTTACCTCCTCAATCTAAGAAAAAATGATCTTATTTTAAGAAAAAAATACCTTTTCTAGATTTAGATTTTTTCCTTTGTAATCTTGAAAATTAGGTGGAAAATTTATTGAGTTATAAAGATTATAACCATGGCTACATCTCGTTTAGCTGTTAATAAACAGACACAGCACCCGGCCGGTGCAGCAGGTGACACTTTTTTCTTTTTCAGTTAGTTTATAAACCTAAATAACTTGACTTTCTCCGACCATAAAAAGCTTCAATCCCCAAAAACATCTTTGTGTTTGAGGCAAACCCTATTTTATAAAGTTTTGAACAACTGTCACATTTTCAGTTGGTGTTTATTAATAGGTATTAAATCAACGCTTGTTTTAAACAATTAATTTCAACTCTTTTTTTTTTTTTGTACTGATTTTTAACTTTTTTAAGAACAGCTACTCTAACAATCAAAGCTTTACATCATTTTCGGTACAAACTTGGACAGGACGATCACTGTTATAGCTACACCTCCCTCCTCCCCATTATTGGTGCTAGTATTCATTGGCCTTTTTGTAAATCCCAATCAATTTTATACAGTTAAATAATTGTTATAGGCTTGTGTTTTATTAAACTGATATAAAAATATTCAAGACTGAAGTTGTGTTAAAACAGTAGAATTAGGTTTTGCCATTGTCGCTCTGGAACCAGCTTTTAGTCCTGATCTATGAATTAAGGCAGAGTGTCAGTATTCTGATACAAATAAGATATCAAATACTTAGATACCAATACCAAGCAAAATATTACCAGCTATCCTTTCAAAGATATCAAAATATAAAAAACCTAATCAATTTCTTTAACTTATTTTTTTAACTTATCTGAATGCCAGATTTGATATTAAGTCAAAATACAATTAAATTGCGTGAATCAGAAATAGCAGTGGTTGTAACCTGGGTGCCAAATAATAATTAGTCCAAAAAAAAAGCAATTTTTACTTATATCCTGAAATAGATCATTAGAAGGTCTCTATTAATTCCATTATAATTATTCTTCCATGTTGTCGTTAAATGTAAATTCATATAATGAATATCATAAAAAGATTATAGCTGAACCTTCAGTAAATTTCTTCCATCGTCTGCCAAGTTTATTTGCTTTTTTCAGGGGTAAAGGAATACAGTAAGCATCCCGTCAACCAGGTCAAGTCCCATAGAATTACCACACATGCCAACATTTTTTCTGGCAGTGCTTCAAAATGCCTATTAATTTTTTGCACTCCATGGTCCCTTATGGTCCCACAATGAGAGCTGTATGTGCATGTTTGGATGTTATGCATGAGGCATGAGGCCATTTATGGGTGCTTCAGAGGAGAAAAAAGCTTTAAGAACTCCTCTTTAGAACCTCCTCTTCTTTAATGATGCAAACGTTTCCATGCATAACTCCTTCCATAATGTTAATTTGCGTCCTGGTAGATTTTTCGCCACACATTCCATCCAGCCAATATGAATAGGTCAGTTTATAAACAATGGCCTCTTTGCTACCGTCCTGACTCTGCCACAGTGGGTGCTACCAGGGATGGAGGCCACATACACAGGCTTGATAACTGGCTGACCTAACGATTAGTCATCATCACAGACATGTTTGCCCTCAAACCTATTATCATGGGCGGTTCTAGACAGGGGCCAACGGGGGCCAGTGCCCCTGTAGATCATCAGAATCAGGTTTATTGCCATTGTTAGTGAAGGAGTTCACAAACTAGGAATTTTTTATGGTACAATCGTGCAACATGAAACATATAATATGGAATAGGTAAATAAAATTATAAAAATATCTAAAACACTGTGGGTATAAGGCATGCAATAAATCCTGGCTTCTGTACTGAATACATAATACTTTTTCTTTTTTTCCCCCCCTTTACATATTCTGTTTTACTAAAAATTTAAAAACAAAAAGGTGATAATAAGGCTTCAGTTGTATTGAGATAGGATCCCACACTGGAAAAAATCAAAATCTAGAAAAGTCATTTTTTTCTTAAAATAAGTGCATTTGTTCTTAAATTGAGAAGGTAAAACAGACATTTTGCCAATGGAACAAGACAATTTATATTTAAATAAGGAAACACAATTGCATTTTTCTTATTTCAAGTGCATTTTATCTAAATATCTTATTTTAAGAGTAAAAATACTCATTCCATTGGCAAATCATCTCATTAACCTGCTCAAATTAAATGTAAACGCACTTAATTTGAGAAATATTTACTTA